TCCAACTCTTTGCAACCCCATGGACTATACAATCTGTGGAATTCCCCAGACCAGAATACTGGAGAGGGCAGCCTTTCCCTTCTCCAGGGGGTCTTCCCGACCCAGGGATCAAACCGGGGTCTCCTAGCATTGCAGGCGGATTCTTTACCAACTTCCCTAGTGGTTCAGATGGTAAAGTGTCTGCCTGCAATGTGGGAGACCCGGGTTCAATCCCTGGGTTGGGAAGATCTCCTGGAGAAGGAAATGGCAACCCACTCCAGTATTCTTGCCTGGAAAATCGCATGGACGGAGGAACCTGGTGGGCTGAAGTCCATGGGGTCGCAGAGTTGGACACGACTACCAACTGAGCAGTCAGGGATCCCAGGAAGCAGGGACTGTAACATCCCCTATTTCCCTGCTTCCCCGAGCAGTCCTGAGGGCTGGCTGGTGCCTGTCCGTGCCCCTCTCCCTTGAGGTCAGGGGCCAGGGTGGGCGCAGGGCTGGGGAGGGAAGTCTCCCTCTCTGAGGGACTTCTTCCTCTCAGTGTGGGGAGGGCCCAGGGAGCGGGGGCTGAAGCCAGAGTGGGTCCCACCCACCCCGACCCTGTGCAGGGCCCACCCTCTGAGTCACCCGCTGATGAGTCTGACTTACTGCAGGCCGAGGTGTGGCCGGGATGGCCTTCAGGTCCCCAAAGTGACATGAGTCATGACCTCATCCAGAGTGAAGCCGTGGACAAAGCTGAGGTCAAAGGGCAGAGGCTGCCCAGAGCCCAGGGACCCAGGCCCGGCCAGCTGTCCAGCTCTGCGCAGAGATGCAGGCGTGGGAGGGGGTGCCCCAGGGGGCCCGCATACCCTGGCCCAGCTCAGGTCCCCTGCCGGAGGGACCCGACTCCATTCCCATCAGTGGAAGTAACGTTGGCCGACACCCAGCCTGGCCGGTGCTGGGGAGGTGAGACACTGTCCCCGTCATCTGCAAGGGGCTGGCATCTAGAGGGAAGCCAGACCCAGAGAGTGACCGTATTGTGATGGACACCTGGAGCAAGGTCACTTTCTGTAGCAGGAAGCCCGACCTGCAGGTACAAGACCTTGAGCCCCACAGAAAGCATCCCCTTGGCCCAAGAATCTGGGAGTGTTTCCTGCAGGGCGCTTCTCCCCCAGCTCACAAAGGAGGCGGAGTGTGCAGGGAGCAGGACCGTCCCCTGCCCGCCGCTGCTCTGCTGGTGGTCAGGAACGTGCTGGCCAAGCCTTGGGGCCCTTGGGCGCCAGCCTACAGGGAGATTACCTTGGTCCCCTGGGCTATGTTTTGTTAGAGGGCCCCGAAGCAGAGTGTTGGGGCCCTTGCTGACACGGTTCTGATGGCCTTCAGTCCTCGTGGGCCTCCCACTTCTTCTGGAACCTTCTTGCCCTGCTGGGTTGTGGGCCACTAGTTAGATGGGCCAACCCAGCCCGTGCACTGAACAAAGGTTCCTGCAGTTCTTTCCCTGCGGTTTAATGTGTCATGGAGGCAAGGACGTGCGCAGGGAAGACGTGCGCAGGGAAGCCATGCTCGTGAATCCGAGAAGCCGGTTCTCATCAATTTCAGTATCACACGCTCTCGCTCCTAAATGAGCTTCCAGGATGTTCTGCCAAGCCTGGGCACCACTGCAGAGCTCCCCTGCCCGCCCGGGGCCAGTCCAAATCCCACCTGCTAACGAATGACGCTTCTTGAAGCATGCCTAGGCTGCTTGCCCCTCGTTCCCACTGAGAGCTGTTTTCTGGGGAGCCACACGGGACCCACTATGTGGGTGCCAGGACATCCCACAGTGTCCTTTCTGAGGCTCCCCTGGGGATGCTCTCTCCTCTCCGTAGTGACAAGTCAGGCTGCTCCGGAGTGATGGTTTGTTTCTGCAACATGGGCATCACATCTCCATCCTTGCCTCGCCGCCACGAAGCCGGGAGCTAAACTTATGGCCGTGCACCAAAACAGGGGTCCCCAGCCCCCGGGATCTGATGCCTGATGTTCTGAGGTGGAGCTAATGTAATAGAAACAAAGTGCACAAAACATGTAACGCACTTGACTCATCCCGAAACCAACCCCTCCAACCCAGGTCAGTGGAAAAGTTGTCTTCAAGGAAATTGGTCCCTGGTCCCCAAAAGTTTGGGGACCACTGCACCAAAAAACAGCATCTCAGGGCAACAGTTTGTGTCCCAGCCCTACCTCTGGCTACCTGGTTTTTTCCTATCACTCTTTTTGACTTGATTTAGTTTGTCTTCTTTCCTTTTTATCTTATCTTGTTTGTAAAGGGGCTTAAGTACTGAGGGCAGCAGTGGGGGCTGGGGGATTAAATATAAATGAATAATAAATAGGAGGAACCTCCAACTTCCTTGAAGCTCCACCTAGGAGCATCCTAGGGCTTTGAGGAAGCCCACCCTCAGCAGCCGTGAAATTAAAAGACACTTCCTCCTTGGAAGAAAAGCTATGACCAACCTAGACAGCATATTAAAAAGCAGAGACATTACTGTGCCAACAAAGGTTTGTCTAGTCAGAGCTATGGTTTTCCCAGTGGTCATGTATGGATGTGAGAGTTGGACCACAAAGAAAGCTGAGCGCCGAAGAATTAATGTTTTTGAACTGTGGTGTTGGAGAAGACTCTTGAGAGTCCCTTGGACAGCAGGGACAACCAGTCCATCCTAAAGGAGATCAGTCCTGAGTGTTCATTGGAAGGACTGATGTCGAAGCTGAAGTTTCAATACTTTGGCCTCTAAGAGCTGCCTCATTAGAAAAGACCCTGATGCTGGGAAAGGTTGAAGGCAGGAGGAGAAGGGGACGACAGAGGATGAGATGGTTGGATGGCATCACTGACTCAATGGAGATGAGCTTGAGTAAACTCTGGGAGTTGGTGATGGACAGGGAAGCCTGGCGTGCTGCAGCCCGTGGGGTCGCAAAGAGTCGGACACGACTGAGCGACTGCTGAGTGGAAGTGACCCTCAGGAGGGACGGGTCTCTGGGGGAGACTGAGATGCGGGGGGAAGGATTCCTGCCGCCCAAGGGGAAGCCCTGAGGTGTCCTGGTCTGCACCCGGAGGCAGGACAGACTCTGACCAGCAGGGGGCACTGCTCCCTCCGGCTCCTGGGCACTGCCCAGACAGCTGGGACCAGATTCCCTTTACCAACAGAGCACGCGGGGCCTCCAGCCAGCCATGCTCGCAGCAGCTTCTGCGACCGGGGGCCTGCCCTTTCCAGGCAAAAACTAACGTGGCCCCAGGGGCCTGCACCCCAGTTTCAGATGGGAGAAGGAAAGCGAGGAATGGGTCCTTTGACTTAAGGCTTCAGTTTCCCCATCCGTGGTTCAGTCGCTCAGTCGTGTCCGACTCCGCCACCCCATGGCCTGCAGCCCACCAGGTTCCTCTGCCCATGGGATTCTCCAGGCAAGAATACTGGCGTGGGTTGCCATTTCCTCCTCCAGGGGGTCTCCCCGATGCAGGGATCAAACCCGCATCTCTTGAGTCTCCTGCATTGGCAGGCGGGTTCTTTACCATATACTGTAACAACCATGTTAATAACAGCATGGCTTCCCCCAGTAAGGCCGTGCAGCTTGCTCTTTGCACGTAAAGCCGTCATTCTGAGCAGAGCTCTCCAGACCTCAGCAGGCGGCCGCAGGGCCCTGCAGAGAGGGTGCGGACCCCCAGCTCCAGGGTCTGCACCCGAAGGCTTCCTCTGCCTGACAGGTCGCTCCTCTGACCTGGCTTTGCTTCCGAGCCTTCACCCAGGTGGGAACTAGCTCCCCACTTGATGCCCGAAGCCCCCAGGCCCACTACGGCATCCACTACACCCTCGTAAAGCTCACCTCCAAAGAGGGTTGTGTCCGCTCTCTCCTTGGCCCACACCCCCCGCCCCCACAGCGCCCGTCACACTGCAGGCAGCCGGGTCGCCAGGCTCTGGGCCCTCGGGGCAGGGCCCCGGGCCTGGAGCGGCTTTTCCGAGAATGTGTGCAGAATAATCAGGGGGATGCCACCTATGGGCTGACTGCGCGCCATCCCCCACGGCGTAGGACGCCCCCTATACGGCACAGCCCTACACCTTCCCCTTTCCCAGAGAGGAAACTGAGGCACAGTGCTGTCAGGTGACCACACCAGGGTCCCAGGGCACCAAGAGCTCAGCCAGAACCAGACAGACCTTGTGCGGAGCCTGGGGGAGCAACTCCTCCAAGCTCTAAGGACCTGGGACATTGGGGTGTGGGCGCTTCCTGGAGGCTTGTCCCCAGTGTCTCCCCAAGAGGGGCGATGTCCACCTCGACCACCCGTGTGGACGGGGCCAGGCCTGTGTGTCCTGAGGGCACCCAGGCCCAGGAGGCCCGGGGCAGGGCGGTGGGGGGGGGGCCCGCTGGGACCCAGGGGAGGGAGAGGAGACAGGCTGGGGAGGAGGGGCCAGGACTAACGGTCTGGCCTTGCCCATTCTATGAAGGGGGGCTGGGGGGACCAGGGGGAGTAGCTGAGGTCACTGGAACTGGGACATGAACTGGGCCGGGTCAGATTCCCCGGGGTGGTGCCCGCGGCCTGCACGCGGGGTGGCTCCTCCCCTGCAAGGCCCCTGACACCCCGGGGTGGGGGCCCGCTGCATAACCAACACCCGGTTTCCCAGACCAGGCAGGCCCAGCTTCTGGCCGCGGATGGGTCCAGGCCCGGAAGGCCGGGCGCGGGGGTGGAGGGGGACGGCGGTTGGGCCTGGGCGGGGCTGGCGGAGGGGCCGGGCCGCCCCATTTCTGCGAGGGCGGGCGGCCGGCGCCTTAAAAAACGCGGCGGGGGCCGGCTGCCCCGCAGACCGTCGGCCCTGCCGGCACTGGGCGCCTCTCCAGTCCCCCTCGCCGCCGCTTTCCCCGCGCCCCGGGCATGTCCCTGCGGTCCCGGCGCCCGCCCGCCTAAGCCCGAGCCGCCGGCGCAGGTGGCCGCGTTCCCTCCGTCGGCGCTCGGAGCCGCGGCCTCGGTGCGCGTCCCCTCCCGGGGCCGATCCCCCGCGCTGCCGCCCGCCGCCGGCCGGTCCGCCATGCAGGCGCGGGCGCTGCTCCTGGCCGCGCTGGCCACCCTGGCGCTGGCCCGGGAGCCCCCGGCCGCGTCGTGCCCCGCGCGCTGCGATGTGTCGCGGTGCCCGAGCCCACGCTGCCCCGGCGGCTACGTGCCGGATCTCTGCAACTGCTGCCTCGTCTGCGCCGCCACCGAGGGCGAGCCGTGCGGCCGCCCCGTCGACTCGCCGTGCGGGGAGAGCCTGGAGTGCGTGCGCGGGCTGTGTCGCTGCCGCTGGGCGCACGCCGTGTGTGGCACCGACGGGCACACCTATGCCAACGTGTGCGCGCTGCAGGCGGCCAGCCGCCGCGCGCTGCAGCTCTCCGGGACGCCCGTGCGCCAGCTGCAGAAGGGTGCCTGCCCATCGGGTAAGCGCTCGGCCTGCCGGGGAGGGAGCATCAGCGTCGCTGGTGGGGATGGGATGGGGGATGAAGAAGGTCTCCTGGGAAACGGGGCTCAGAGCCACGGCGGAGCGCTCCCCAGGGAACAAGTGACTTTTTCATTTAGAGATCATCTCACCAGGCTTCTGGTCTTCAGGTCGGGGAACCCAGACGGGGAGAGGTAAAGTGCTGTCCCCAAGGTCACAGAAGTAGCCCACCGTGGTGAGACCAGGGGCTCTGTGACCACCCCCAAGGGGCCTGGTCCGCCCAGCATTTCTCCAGCCTCATTAAAATGTACCCACCTTGTGGCTCGTTTCCCCTGGTCCCCATATCCCTGCCCTGCCTGGGTGTTGGATGCAAAGCACTCTTTGCTGGCCCTCGATGTCTCAATATTCAAACGCAGTTGAGCCACATGTAGTGTTTTCTCTTTTTTTGTACTGCATTTAAAATGTGTCTCTGGAAGGTCGTTTAGTAATGGTGAGCCAGCGTGTGGGGTCTCTGGACTGTGTGTGGGGGCTCCGTGGGGACAGGCTGTGGGGTAAGAAATCTCTCAGTCCCATCAAAGCTTAGAACACGCGTGCGTGTGTGCTAAGTCGCTCAGTCATGTCTTTGTGACTCCATGGACTGTAGCGCGCCAGGCTCCTCTGTCCGTGGGATTCTCCAGGCAAGAATTCTGGAGTGGGTTGCCATGCCCTCCTCCAGAGGTTCTTCCCCACCCAGGGATGGAAGCCACATCTCTCATCTCTTGCCTTGGCAGACCAGTTCTTTACTGCTGAGCCACTGGAGAAGCCCAACCTTAGAGTAGCCCCCCCCAACCTGGGGTTGGCTCCAGATGGCTTCTTGCCACACAGGTTGACCCTGTGAAAGAAAATGCTAGAAAACCCTGCTGTGCCCATGCTTGTCTGGGGCATCTCTTGGGAAGGCAGGCTCCAGCGTTGGTTCCTTGGTGCTCTGAGGGCACACCCTGCACTGAGTTCACAGCGACTGAGAGGAATCAAGCTCTGTGTGTGTCCTCAGCCTGCAGCAGCCAGGGCGACGCTAACCCCCAGGACGGGCCCCACCATGGGGCACAGGGCCGCCTGGGGGGCCGGGGAGCCTGGAGGGGCTGAAGCGCTAGCTCTCCTGGGAAGAGAAGGCAGTGTGAACCGCCACATGGAGACCTTACTGTGTGTGGTGAGCTGGGTTGGGGAGAACATGCAGCCCAGAGCAGCTGGTGTGCAGGGGGATGTGTGTGTGCGTGCGTGTGTGTGCATGCGTGTGCATGTGCCTGCATGTGTGTGTGCACTTGTGTGTGTGTGTGTGTGCATGTGGGTGGGTGGGTGTGCATGTGTGTATGTGTGCATGAGTATGCGTGTGTACATGTGTGACCCCAAGGCTGGACAGCTTGGTAGGGACAGGACCATGCATGTCCCATAAAGGTTGTACCTTAGACTTCAACCTTAGGCCAGGCTTCCCAAATCGGGTCTGGGATTCTGAAAACAAGTGTCCTGGGGCCCAAAAGTTCTGGAAAGTAAACTCCAGCCCTGCAGTGGGGAGTCACAGTCAACTTGAGTCTATCAGAGCTCCTGAGAAAACCTGCAGCAAGGTAAAAACAAAAACAAAAAACCCCAAAATGATAAAACCCAGGGTTTCCCAAGAGAACTTCAGCAAAGAGTTCCTTCCTGGGAGAATGCACGGGGTTCCAGGGAGCCTGGTTTGGGAAGCATTATGTGGGATTAGCCATGATTATATGGGACAGCCTTTGAAAGGTTTTAAGAGAAGTGAGGGTAATGTGGTCAGGCTTGTGCTTGGATTGTGCCCAGGAAACTGGGGGCGTGGGGCTGCTCAATGTCACGCACGGCGTGGGGGATGTTATCATTTACTGTGCGCCCACCGCACCCTCTGCCTTGGGGCTTAGAGCCAGCGGGCCCATCTCAGGCTATGCTGGCGGGTCAGACAGGCAGAGGGCTCAGGCTGGGCCTGGCCTGGGCACCCCCCAAAGCCAACTCTCCCAAGTAGTGGATGCTCTTAGAGTCAGGCTCCAGGGCGCCAGGGGCTGGAGTGGGTTGGAGGTGGTCTAGGCATTTTGAAGCCTTTATTTTCTTTAATAACTACTCAATGTTGTATTCTTTTTTTAAATGTTCATTTACTTGGCTGCACCGGGTCTTAGTTGAGGCCCAGAGGATCTTTAGTTGTGGTTGGTGAGCTCTTAACTGTCGCAAGTGGGACCTAGTTCCCTGACCAGGGATTGAACCCCGGGCCCCATACATTGGGAGCACAGTCTTAGCCACTGGACCACCAGGGACATCGTGAAAACTTTCTTCTTGGCCGATGGAGTCCCGGCTTGCGAAGCCCCTTCTCTTGTGTCCTGCTGGCTGTGGGGTGGTAACAAGGCCCCTGCAATGAGGCAGAGCTTGGCTGTGTCCTGGAGAAACTCAGATAGTGGGGGAGACACGGGAGGCTGAGCAGAGAACAGTAACCTGGTGACCACAGGCAGACGCAGAGGGTTCAGGGGCTGAGTGGAAGGTCACCAGCTGGGGCTGTCCCTGCCCCTCCTACTAACGCGGTGCCACCTGCGAGGTCCTTGTCCTCAGTTTCCTCATCTGTAAAGTGGGATGACTGCTCAGTTTTGGGGAATTGGTGCAGAGAGTAATGAGCTCCAGCACGCAGACACATGCCTCTAATGAGCAGTCGACCCACAGTCCGTGTATTTTGTGTGTGATGATCACGCTTCTGACGCCTCCACCACCCTTTCCATCACCTGATGAGGTCTGGGAGGCTCCCCAGAGGCGGAGCTTGGGTGCTGAGCCGCAGGAGGTGACCCGGGCTCTCTGGACGTTTGGATGGGGAGGATGCAGGGAGACGGGGAGCCGGGCAGAGGCAGAGGGACCAGCCGCACCAGGCGGGCGCGCAGACCACAAGCCCTGCCTTCAGAGCCCCCAGGGGCAGGGGGCACCCAGAGCGGCTGAGGCCACTGGAGGGCGGGGAGGAGCGGCCTCGGTGGGCGGGGCGGCCTCGGTGGGCGGGGAGGAACGGCCTCGGTGGGCGGGGCCAGATGGGCCCAGCCTCCCCTGGGCGTCTTGCGCAGCGGTCCATGCGCGGCCCGCCCTTGCTCCCGGCACCCGCCAGAGCACAGGGACCTCAGACACCCGTCTTCCCGCGAGGCAGCAGGGGCAGAGTCCAGCCCCTGTGGGATTGGAGCTGGTCCCGGGCTCCGACCGGCGCCATCTCACTTGGCGAATCCGTTCCTTACTCATGCACCCCAGATGTGCTCACAGAGGCTGGGAAGGGCAAAGTGATGGAGCTGAGGTCACTCGGCTGGGAAACGACCGAGGCAGGCCTGGCCCGGGTCTGGCTGGCACTCTTCTGCAGGCAGGGCGGCGGGCCCCTGAGGTCTGGGGTCAGTGTCAGGCCTGGGTCTCCAGCGCCAACAGACTCAACCTCTATAGCGTATCCTTGGCAGCCTTACCCGCCCCCCCCCCCCCAGCCTCCCTGGGGCCTGGTCAGAAATCACTGGGTGACCTCCATGTGTAGCGGCAGGTAAAGGGCTACTGTCTTCAGCGTTTCCCCCTGGACGTAAGTCCTGCAGCTCCACCCTCACTTGCCTTTGGATGCACCCAGGGTCCTGTCTCCAGCCCCTTCCTTCCCTGAGCCGGAGTCCTGTGTCTCAGCTAGCCCATACCCTCAACCGACAGGACCACCCCTGGGGAGTTTAGGTCAGAAGCCTTCGTCACCCTTTGACCCCTTACTTCCCCCCATTCCTCACTCCCTGTCTGCAGGAGGGTCCTCAGCTCGACCTTGAGATATTCCCCGCAGGGTCCTTCCAGCCACGCTGGCCTCCGCGGACCTTTTCCGCCTCCCTCATCCTCCCTTTGGTCACTTCTTCACACGGCGGCCAGGATGAATCCGTGCTGCCCGTCACGGGTGGGACTCTGCAGCAGTCCCCCAACGCCTGCACTGACCCCCAAACCCCTGTGCCGCCTGGGCCTGCCCACCCCCCAACACCGTCTCCTCCACTGCTCCAGCCACACTGGTCTCCTTTCCACCTCAGGGTCTTTGCACGTGCAGTGTCCACTGCACCAAATTCCCATTCCCTCACCTTCTTGGGACCAAGTCCTCAACTTGCCTTAGCCTGGATGAGTGGCCCTCCCTGATTGCCTGGGTAATCCCCTTCATCAGCCTCATGGGCACACCTTGGGGACTCCCCTGAACCACCTCACGTTTCTTCTCTGACTCAATGCCTTATTTTCATCTTGTGGATGTCTGGTCTGTTTGTTCTCTGTGGGCCTGGCCCAGCAGTTGGGCTCATTTGGTGCCATTGGAATGAAAGTCCAGCCCATGTGGTGGGTGTTCCCTCCTTGCATACCCCCAGTGATGGTGGGCTCACTACCTACCTGGGGAGATTTTGCGCCTTCCCATGTCTGTGCTAGACAGACGCTACATGTTGGGGATGAGTATCCATCAGGGAGAGAGTAAATCCCAGAGCACTGCGTCTGCGTGGAGCAGAGGTGTCCCTTCTTACAGCCTCTGCCCACAGCTGCAGACCAGGAGGCCTGCGAGGCTGCAATTAAGTCAGAATTTCGAGCCCTGGGGCGGTTCATTTGTCCTCAGTTGCTTCTGTCCATGGGATTTTCCCAGCAAGAAGCCTGGAGGGCAATTCACAGCGTGGCATTTAATCGTCGGCTTTTACTGTTCAGCCCCAGAGCAGGTGCCAGTGGAGACTTTGGGCTCTGTTTATTTAAGAGCTTTGTTGACTTTCGGTGTTAGATCCGCTTAGCGGCTTCCCGGGCCTTGCACTCAGGACTCACAGGGCCTCCACCTCTCCGCTCCCCCCGCCCGGACCAGGCGCTGAGCTGCAGCCTCTGGCGGCTCCTGAGGACCCATGAGGAGCCAGGGGTCCGGCCAAGAGGGGCTTAGGGCCTGGACTGCTGTGCCGCCATCCTTCCCGGCCAGGGCTTGGCCTAGACGGCGCCCTCACCAGCCCCCATGCTCCCTAAAGCTGGTCTGGA